CCTTTTTCTATTTATGTCTCTAAATATTTACTCACAATTTAGTTCACTTTTATTATGCTCATGTAACTTATCTAGTATTTTTTAGTGTTTCATAATATTGAAGTTCATTTTTTTAATGTTCAAAATTGTAATAATTTGTTTTTTTTTTCTTTGTAGCAATCAATAACAATATAATTCTTTTTTTTTTGTTCATAACGTACACTATTTGTAATGTTTCTTAAAGAGTAATTAACTTTTGTTTAAGTTTAAACAACAAGTAATTAACTTTTAAGTAATAAAGTAATTAACTTTTGTTTAAGCTTAAACAACATAAAAAATACGTAAGCTTTAGTAAGTTTTTATGTAAGATTTGGCGTATAAGTTCATACAAATAAAAACTTATAAGTAATTGAGGTATTACTTATTCATTTGAAACAAGATACATTTTGATATTCCTCATCAAAAATAGATTTCAAAGAATATTTTTGAAGAACTGTAATGTCTTTTTGAGGGGATGTTATCCATTTAAGAAGAAAAAAAGGCGGTAACTTAATCTCGTTTGACATCTACGCGATGCATCATTGTGATAAAAAAAATACACAGAAAATAATTTTTATTTCGGACTTAAAAGAAAGCGTTAAAATTACAATACAAACACTGAGTTGCATACACGAAGTATGACTAAACATTCTGAGAACAGTAAATTATTTTGAAAAATTACAAAACAAACACTGAATCGCATACAGAAAGGATGCCTAAAAATTCTGAAAACTGTAAATTATTTTGAAAAATTCACTCCAAAATAAAGAAAGTAAGTATACATGGACATTTTTCAAAAAGTCTAAAACAATTATACATCATCAAAAATGTTGAAGCATGTTGAATATAAGTATTGTTCAAACTTTCTATAACCGTAATATGGTGTACCATACGTACTTGAACCCTATATTTACAGAACCCTATATTATTTTTCAGAGTTGATTACACAATACCTTGCACTGTTAAGACTAATATTCTAAAATTACGGTAAAATAACCTGCAGTCAATCCATTTAATTATCCGTAAAGTTTCTGATAGAGAACATTTGCTTTTACATTTATGGTTCTGAAATCATTCACAACTGGTATGGTTAAGAAACCCTTCATTCAAAACAATACGGTTTTTTGACCATTTGAAACTTGCGTAGTTTCAAAACCGAAAAAAAGAAATTTAACTGTGCATTGGAGTTAGGCTTTTTGTTAGGTAATAGGCATTGGAATTAGGTTGTGGTTGAGTTGTGCTTCATTAAGTGAACTATGGAATGTGGTTTAATTAGTTTATCTGGTTGTTTCACCTATCGTAAAAGATGGTAAATACTAAACTTTTTTGTGTTAAGCAGCTTTATGGTGCTGCCAACTATTCGTGAATGTTTTGGGACATAAAATGGGGAGTGTGGGACACTGGAAACTCTTCGTGTGTTAAAGGGAATGGAGGAGATATTGTGGTGTCAAGGCTGAGACCCGAACCCCCGTTCTGTCGGTCACGAGATATACCTATTAGCCATTTCGGCTATAATATGCACCCAGTTGCAAAGAACTTAGGGGCTTCATTAGGTAGGCCTAGTTAGTGTGATAAAATTATGGTTGTTTAACCGTATTAGGTGAAAGCAGTTAACAGTTTGAATACCGTAGTATTTATGGTTATTTGACTGTTTTGGTTGAATATGGTAAGATAACGAATACAGAAATTGTTATTTAACCATTTTCTGGCAGATTTGGATTTCGTATCCTCAACTTATGGGAAGTAGATGCTATTTGGGAAATATTCTCCCGATAGTTTTGTCTGGACCAAGGTATAAAGATCGGAATTCTTCATGCTATTTTAACTTTTTGCGTGTTTCACCATATTTCTAGAATTTTTAAAGTGATTCGAAAAACTGCTGCACACAATTATAAAATTCTTTTACCCAAAAATAATAATAATGCAAAAACAAATTTTTATAATTATTTTTTTATTTTTAATATTTTATTTAATAATAGTCAAAACAATTTAGTATTGTATGGAAGGCAGTTTTTAGCATCGTTTTAAGTAATGTAATTTTACGCGGAAAAATGCAACATTTGAACGTAAATGGTCGAATTGTTCCTCAAAATTTGACTTTTAAAAAAATCGGATATTTTAATTTCGATTTCTTAAGAACTATTCGACCAATTTCGTTAAAGTTTTGCATTTTGCCATATAAAAAAAATTGAAATGACGCAATAAATTGTATACTTTACAATTCAAAAAGTTTTTGTCCATTTTTAAGTAAAATAATAAAAATATAATAAATAGTTCATAAAATTTATTTTCTCCATCAAATTATTTTTATATTTATTAAAATTTAGAGGGGAATTATATTTAGATCAAATTTTAAAATTGTGCATGAAATTTTCAATTCCCTAAAAAAGTCCTCAAAATTTGATGAAATATGCAAAACGTAAAATTAATATTAAGAGTTCCAAACATTCGACTGTTCCTCTGACAAACAATTGAGACCATATTTCGAAGATTGCAACTACCCTTTATATTTTGAAGATCAGAAATTCAAATCGGTCGATCAAAAGATGTGTTTAGAGAAAGCACATTTTTGTGTCTGATTTCGTAACTTAGAATATTGTCTGTACTAACGAATTATCATATTTAAGATCATCCCCTCGAAGCATTAACATTGAGACCTAGTATGCAAAATTCTTATCATAAGATCAAAAGTTGTTCAGCGTATTTCGTTTTTTTTCCGCTCACTGCACATAATGTGTTTATTTGTTTTAATATAGTGAAGAAGCATTTTTATCTTACATGCACCCTTGAATTTTTGTTGGAAAAATGTTTTTAAAATAAACAAGATTCCTCAAATTATCGCAAATACTCAAATTAATGTTTTTTTTAAAAACTATTTAAAATAATATAATTTGCCGTATTGATCTGTTAATTTAATTTATTCAACCACCTCGGAAAATCATAGAAATCGCCTAGTTTCAAATGTTTTCTTTTTTTATTTGTTCTGTTTTCGTAAAGGGGTTAAAAGGAATGCAGAAAATTGAATGCTAGAACGTGAAGATCCGATCAAAAACTATTCAGTGAGGTCCATCTTTTTTGACACACTGTACATATACATTAGAAAAATCCACATAATTTACGAAAAAATAAAATGAATCACTTTAGGATATTACTCGATCAGAGTTACGGTACTCACTGCGGTATACGGTAGATGGTATATTTCGATTCAATCAAATACACTAACTAAATGCGTGATTAATCTTAGGATTGTAAACAATCAGTATTCATGTTCTTAAGATTGAACTTGAAGGCAGACAAATCTGATGAAAAAATACATTTCATCAAGTCGTCAAATTGTTAGATATCACTCTTCAGAAAGATAATAATTTGATACAAAGAAATTATTTGCACTAAATTAAATTGTTTCAAAGTTTTCCATTACAAATGACACAAATTATGCACAAATAAAAATTCTTTTTTACGTTAATTAATTACAAATACAATTACATGCTTTAACATGTCAAGAGGAGGAAGTGAGATTTTCCTAGAATTAATGTTACAGTGCACTCACCAAGTTGTCCCATAAATCTGATACCTATACCTATAGGTAATCTGAAACCTATAGCATGCTTAAAGAGTCCGTCATTCACAATTCCAGAATTTAACAACCACTCTTAATATTAATTATCATAGGCAGATCGTAGCTGCTATTTAGTTGATTACTAAGACGAATGTTCTAACTTTACGGACTGCTCCTCTTGCATTTTGAACCTTGCTAATAAATATCCTCGTCTAAGAGAGTGTATAATTATCTGTTGTTTAAGATCCTTTAAGGATTTGATAAATTAAATGAAACAGTAATTTAACAGTGAGTTCATTTCAAAAAGATTTCTTAAAGTTATTAAAATCTCTATAAAATAGCAGACAATATCACCAGCTGGAGTGAATTGGTAATTTCTTAATTTTCTGAATCGTAACTGCAGTAAATTGTTAATAATTTACTAATTCAAGTAGGTGGTTGCTTTTAATTATATTTTATACTATACAATATATTTAATTTTAACAAAAAGTTCAGTCTAAGGACTACTTTATATTATCTCCTTTTTACCTGGACTTTATATATACTTTTAAAATTGCCGGGAGAAAAATCTAAAGTTATCACGCCTTTGCATCGATTAAAAAATTGCCCTTAAGAAAATGAACTCGAATATGTTGATGAACCAATTGATCAGGATATACAAATATTTATAATGGTCACGGTTATATATAACAAGTTCTGCCTTCTATATGTTCTGTTTCTTTCTTGAAGTTTTTATTTTCTATAATTTTTGCTTGCTTTTTATTTTGTATTTTTTGCTTAATATGTTTTATTATAGTTTCATTTTTTTATTGCTCCTCACACTATTGAATTAATATATTTTGTTTTGACTATGTTAATATAATATTCGAAAGTACATTTTTGTAGATATAATCGTATGAACGGACGACTAGCTTATATCTTTCCCTTTTTTTATTTTCCGGTTTTTTAATTTTCTTTTAAATGTTTAAATTTAAAAAAACAATTTATTTAGCAAACATTTTTCTTCTTCTCTTTAACAATAAATTGTTTTATTATTTTTAATTTACTTTATGGGTTCTATGTACTTGCAGCTTATGCGAAGTAAATGAGACCTATTATTACTTTTTCTTAGTTTTCTCCGTTAATCTATCTTCTCTTTCTTGTCTCCTTATCTCTCTATAAATAGACATATTATAAAAGGTAACATAAAATACGCCAATTCAAATTTACTTTAAAGGTGTTCGTTTTATTAAACTGCAACAGCTATGCTTAAAAACATCAATATTTGAAAAATGTCTAATAGAAGATTTTGATAGAATAATATAAACTATTTAAAAGAATCTCTGGAAAAAGTGCTTCCCTTATTCCTTCAGAGAGACAATTATATTTTCTGCAATCATCTATTTAAATAACGTTAAAATATAAGACAAGAAACAAATGTTACCATATAAATTGGAACAAGATCTAAAAAATCTTGAACTTGTTTATCATCCGACATTCGCTCAATTAGTCTATCTCCTTGTCCAGCTAGCACAACATGTTCTAATCTTAGCAAGTCTCCTTCTTTTATCCAATGTTCTATCAACTCATCTAGATGATCTTCTTAAAATAAAATAATTTCAATAAAAATAGGGAATTCAGTGCATTAACTGGAATAATTAACAAGAAAAGATGCAAATGTGTCACTCTTCAAACAAGCTGAATAAATATATTTAAGTATAGAATGTTAACATTTTAAAGAATGTCAATTACGATGTGATGATGGAAATATATGTTTTCAAAAGGTGAGATTTCAGTGAAATTACCTATAATACATTAGTTGATTTCCTCCTAGTTAGTATGATTTTTTTCCATTGGGTTATATTTAGTAAATTCTCTAGTGGAAACTTGCTCTAGAACTTGCTAAATAAATTTGATATAAAAGAAAATATTTTCCTGAAACTCGAAAGAAATTGAGCCTTTTTTAAAAACGAAAACGTGTGAATTGATTTTAAATAACTCCAAAGGGAAGTAAACAAAAACGTTCTTACTTAGTGTCGGGAATGTTTTAACACTGTTACTTAACTTAATTTGCAGAGTGCTGAAATTGCATTGTGGTTTTGGAATTTCGGAAAGCGTTGATTCGTTGAACCAATGAATAATTTTGCCGCAACCTTGACGCTGTACTCAGTTAAACCATATCAATTAAGTTGATTACACCGCACACTGCAAAAAATTCCGGATCAAATTACGGTCAACCTTTTAACCATGAAATTCATTTTTACCGGAACATGTTACCGTAGAAAATATCCGATCTCTCGTAATTTTTACAGTAATAATTATCGCAAAATCACTGAATCACTCTAGTCAAATGATGAGGCAAAGTCTCAGTAGTTCATGGTTACAGTTCCTTCATTTTACGAATTCTTACAAACAGAAAACTTAAAAAGAGAAATCTTGAAAACTATAGAATTATATCATTAATCTATTTAATTAATTAAAAATTTTACCACATTGTTTTAAGTTATTTAAACTAAATAAGTTTATTTCAAGCTCATATTTTTAAGAATTCAGTCAAATATTGGCTTATGTTTACCATTACGTTTTTATTTACAGAAATTTAACTTGCAAACTATATTACTATAAGTAGAAACATTATCGAGTTAATGTACTTAAAATAAGAAGGAAACATGGATAAGTACGTTATGTTAGTAACGTCAACGTAAATGCTACATGCAAAAACGTTCATGTGCAGCAATTACAATGAACTTGAACAGGTCTAGTTATTTTTTATTGTACAAATTTGTATTACTTCCAAAGACACTTTGTTTCTAGCAAAAAGGAAGAAAAAATTATATATATATATA